GAGAGAAGGGAAACCTCGGCCATAGGGAAACAGTCTGAGGGCTTGGGGGTAGAAAGCCATGGGGGTAGAGGGCCATGAGGGTAGAGGGCCATGAGGGTAGAGGGCCATGAAGGTAGAGGGCCCACAGGAGAGGAGTGGGTGGGCCCTGCAGGAGATGCAAGAATCTGCCACTCAAGGCCAATAGCAGAGGAAGGAAGGAGGAGAATGGAGGTGGAAAGCTGGAAAGTCACCTGGGGCTTTTGTTACCTTCACAACTCCAGAATCCAGGCTTCAGGCCTACAGGGGTGGGAGAGATCTGGGAAAGATCTCAAGTAGTCAGACTACCACCTTTAATGGTCCTTGAGCTGTTCAGTGGAGTTACACTTTGAGACTCAGGTCACCCTCCCCAGTCCAACCTTTAGCATTCAGACACAAAGTGGACTGCAGGGAAGAGGGCTGAGCATTGAGCTAGGGGGCCCACCTCCTGGTCTCTCTGGAGAGTAAGGAAAATGTCAGCCCAGGACCCAGAGTCCAAGAGGAGGGGCGAGGGCCTCCTGGAGGTTATGCTTTGACATCAGCATCACATACTGGAAAGTGGTGAAACTTTAAGGCAGGGCCAGTTTCACATCTGTCTCTGTACCCTTGGCCTGACGCAGAGAAACTCAATCCATAATTGCTTAAAACCCAAATACTAGTTGGGCGTGTTAAAACATACCTGTAATCCCAGCAACTCAGGAGGCTGACACAGGAGGATCACGAATTCAAAGCCAGTCTTAGCAATTTAGCAAGGATGTGTTTCAAAATAAAAAGGGCTGGGGATGTGGCTCAGTGGTAGAGTGACCCTGGGTTCAGTCCCAGTACTATAAACAAAACAAAACAAAAACAACAACAATAAAAAACCCAAACTCTAGGACTCAAGCCCTTCACAACAGATACTTAATCTTCCATGTGGTCAGACTATTTTATTCTTGCTCTTAGGGTTAGGCATACAGTGGTCTTGGCTTATATTCGAGGCTCTGCAATTCTAAGTGATTCCAATGCTAGGAATGCATTCTTTTGAAATAAACACAAGCACAAAAATAAATGAATGAGGTTGTAGGTTATAGTATAGTTTGTCACCATACTTTGTGTAGTATGGTTTGTCACAAAGTTTGTCACAAAAGTGGGAGATCTTAAGTATTCATCAACAGGGAATGGTTGAATAAATTGGATCTAACCCCACTAAGAAGTACTATGTGTCTTTTAAAAAGAATGAGCTAGACTTAAATGAACCAACATGAAAAGACATCCTTAGTATGTAAAGTGAAAAAAGCAAGTTTCAAAAAATCTGGTACTATGTGTGTGTATATTTGTACTTTAAAAAGGCATGGAGTAGAGAAGAGGAAAAGGATGGGGAATGGGGGGAATAATGGGAAATGATAATGGCCAAATTATATTGTTATATTGTGTGCATGTATGAATATGTAACAACAAATCCCAGCATTATGTACAATTATAATGTACCAATAAAAATATGGAAAAAATAAAGAAAAGGCATGTAAAAGTCCATATAAAATTAATGTATAATTAGTTATTAGTTGTAGAGAATAAATCGATAGGTCTGGAACATTTTTCTATACTATTCGATTTTTCTCCATTATATTACTTTTGTTTGTTTGTTTTGGGTAAGGGGATAGAACTCAGGGGCACTCAACCACTGAGCCATATCCCCAATCCTATTTTGTTTTTTATTTAGAGACAGAGTCTCACTGAGTTGCTTAGCACCTCACTTTTGCTGAGGCTAGCTTTGAGCTCGTGATCCTCATGCCTCAGCCTCCTGAGCCACTGGGATTATAGGCATGTGTCACTGCAGCTGGTTCTATTATATTACTTTTATAATTAAAAAAGAATAAATTTTCTGGGTATGGGGGCGCTTGCTTATAATTTCAGTGACTCGGGAGGCTGAAGGAGGATGATCACAAATTTGAGGCCAGACTCAGCAACTCAGTGAGACCCTATCTCAAAACTAAAAAAATAAATAGGGCTGGGCATGAAGCTTAGTGGTAAAGGATGCCTGGGTTCAATCTTCAGTATCAAAATAACTAAGTAATTACAAAATAAATAAATTCTGGGATATTAAGCTATCTTTAGCAAGGGTCCAACAGTCTTCAGGTCAGGTATAGATACCCAGAGGCTTCAATGATCTATTGTTGGGAAATAGTTGGTACAGGGCTGGCAGCAGGTTTTAAGAGGCAGAGGCTCTAGGTTAACTCTCAGAATGGTCAGGGTATGGGTTTTAAGGAAAAGTGCAGGTGTTGAGTTAGGGCAAGGCCAGCTGTGGCTGGAAGGCAAGAAACTAATTTCTTAGCATTCTTACAAATCCTTTTCCTCTTCTTTACCATTGCTCCTTCCTATCTCCCCTTGCCCAAGTTGGCATGTGTATTAGTAAGGGTTCTCTAGAGGAACAGAACCAACATATATATCCTAGACACTCTCATTGACACATCCAGAAGCCTCTTACTTTCAGGCATCTTTTAATCCAATCAGTTGACAATTCAGATTGACCATTACAGCATGTGGTCCTTTCTTCCCCTTCTGTACCTCTCACTCCCTGTGAGTTGCTCTTAGCTCACTCTTCCTGGGCAATGCTATGCTATTTTTTTTGGCAGGCTTGAAGAAGCTTCTTGGCACAACATAAGTTGGTTGGGCATGATATGATTTGGCTGGGGAGCTGTTGGGTGATGCTATAGGTGCTGTGAGGCGAGCTGGAATAAGTGGCAAAAAAAAGACTAATAAATGTTTGGATGTTTAATACAACCAAGAGTAGGGCCAGGAGCCGGGATTATGGGGCTGGGGCTGTAGCTCAGTGATAGAGCATTTGCCTAGCACATGTTGAGGCACTGGGTTTGATCCTCAGCACCACATAAAAACAAATAAAGGTATTTGTTTAATAATATATTTAAAATATATTATTTAATATATTTAAAAAATAAAAGATCAGGCGTTATATGAGTATGGCTAACTTGACTTATTAGCACAGATTTTCTCAATTGGGCCCTAATCCATTCTTCTATAGAGCAGATTTACCTGGTAGGCAGAGTGCCCAAGCCCCATAATACTTCTAGGGGCCCACAAAAATGCTTTAGTTGAAGATTAAAAGATGTAAATAGAATCTAGATTTGCATTCACCCTTATGCCAATGTAATCATAAATATAATTTTTAATTTTTTATGGAGTAAGGGTCCTATGAAGAGCCTAGGGCCCATCAAAGTTAAAACATGGCCCTTATCTTCTACCTTCTATAGCTCTTGTTTCCTTTCCCTGATGTCTTCTTAGTTTCCCAGAACCTTTTGTATCTTTGTCCCTCTGTGTCCCTGCTCATACTGTTTGTGTGACATCTCTGCTTCTCGAGTTCTTTCCACCTTAGAACTCACCCATCCACAAGATCAAACGTCATTCTTTGTAAGGCCTTTCCCCATTCCCCTGAGAGGAAGGGACTGTTCCTTCTAATACACATAGCACTTTTTTTTTTTCTTTTGACATCTCCAAGCTTCTCATGACTTATTTAGAGTAGAAGTTCCACGGGGAAATAACCTCATCTTACACTTCCTCATAACTTCATGTACTTGACATCCAATACATAGATATTTGGGGATAACAGCCAGTGACTGTAACAGAGTATTTCAAATGTATGTGGTTCTTCCCAATCTAAATCAACAGATACAGCTAAGGGACAAAGCAGGAAAAGAACCCAACACACACTTCTACCAATGCCCTAAAATCTTTATTTCCACTGGGATTCCAGGCCCAATTCTCTTGTTTCTGAGAACTCCTTTTCCCCACTGTAGGTCACATCCTGGCCACTTCTTTCTTTCCCTTTGGCTGGGCCACCCTAGAGTATCTTCTCTATAATTGGCTCCCAAAGGGTACCAGGGAGCTTCCTGCAGGGTTGAGTTGCAGGGAACAGGAGGCAGCTGTGGTTCCACGGCACCCTCAAGTGGTGATAGCCTGCTACTTATGTCAGAAGAAGACTTCCTGGACAGAATTTGTTTTCAGCTAGGCAGAGGGGGGAAGGGAGGGTTTTCTTTTTTTTTCTTTGGTACCAGGGATTGAACCCAGGGGCGCTTAACCACTGAGCCATATCTCCAGCCCTTTTAAATATTTTACTTAGAGACAGGGTCTTGGTAAATTGCTTTAGGGCCTCACTAAGTTGCTGGGGCTGGCTTTGAACTCACAATCCTCCTGTCTCAACCTCCTGTGTCTTTGGGATTATAGGCATGTGCCACCAGTCCAGTCCTGGCAGTAGGGAGAGCTTTCTACCTCGGGCGAAGAGCCGGTAGCACATCAAGTCCACTCCATACCATGCCTATGCCAGTGCAGTGGAAGGGATCAGTCTTTCAGTCTTGCTCAACTCTGCAAACTGTCCCTGCTTGAGTTCTAGTCTCAGGGTTGCCAATACCTTGCTGGGTGTCCTTGGACAAATTCACTCGTCTGGTCTCAGTTTCATAATATGAAATTAAAGGATTGGACTAAAATATCAGTTTTCAAATTAGGCTCATAGACCTCTACAAGTTCATGGATTGGAGAGCATTGCCCTTCCCTCCCTCAATTTTCACCATGCTGCTTTGCTTTTTCTACTTTATATATGGGGCTTAAACTTGAGAATCACTGCTTCCATGAACTTTCTTTCAGCGTTAACATCCCAGGATTCCCAAATGTGGTCTCCTTCCACATGGCTACACAGCTCTATTGTTCTAGGCTTTATGGAAGCCAGCTAACTGAAAATGATCAGAATGGGGTGAAGAGGGCATAGTAAAGTTGGTGGCTTGTCTAGTGTTCTTGTGTGGTGGAAGGAGCTTTGGTTCAGCAGTGAAGAGCCTCAGTCTTAGTTACAGCTATCCACTAGCTGTGTGACTACGACAGACTCATTTACCTCTTTCTGCCTTAGTTTCTTGTCAGTAAAATGGGCACAGTGGTTCCTGTCCTGTCTTTCTCACAGGATTATTGGACAAATGAAATAAAATAAAGGATACTCAATGGGATACTTCCTATGAATCATGATCAGTTCTACACACTTTGGGCTATGAGCAAGGGAGGCTCTCTTTGACCTCTAATCCCTCCATGAGAGCACCCTGTTTCACTAGATTCTGCAGGTGCTCTGGGTGACCAGGGCTTCAGGATGGGGATACAGAGGTATTCTTCTTGTGTTCAGCACTGCTGTCCTGGGCCCTCCCCCAGCTGCCTTCTCTGCTTTGGAGGACTCTGTTTCTAGGGCAGAAGGAGAGCCCTAGGCCAAGCATCATGTGTCCTCAAGGACTCTTCCATCAGTGTGGAGGAAAGAAAATGGGTCCAATGTTGCAAGGAGCAAGATGGTCCTGCTTTGACATCCATTGGGTTTAGCAATCCATTTTTAAGGCCTATTGAGGAGCTAGTGTCAGTTTGTCAGACCTCAGCAATCCTGTTTCCTGAGAGGATCGCAGGAGCTTGCTGGGGATGATCCAGGGCCTAGACAAAGAGCCAGAGCTGGTGGGTGTCCCTGGGATTACAGGGGGCCATGGTTGGTTTTTTGTCCTGGGATGTCAGGCAGGTACCAGATCCTGAGTTCCTGATGAGGTGATCCTAAAAGACAGAACAGCAAAGGATCAACTTGGGGGCAGACCTCTAACAGTGCTACTGGGGAGCAGTGAGATAGGGGACAATTGAAGGAGGCAAAGGAACCCAACAAGGCACAAAGAAGACATTTGCAATTTCTCTCCTGGGAGGCAGACACTCTGATGAGCTGCATTTGTGCGTCCCTGTCTGAGGCCAATTCCCAAGCCCCAGCTTTAGCTTGAGTGGCTGAAATAAAGGAAAGCAAGACCAGAGGCTAATAGAAAAATGCTTTCAGAAGGTATAGGCAGGTAGCCTGGGTTCTTGCAGCCTGATCCTTTAGACCACACTCTTAAGCAGTGGGTCCCAGTGGTGCCTGTTGAGTGTGTTGTCTACATGGCCACGGCTAATCTCCAACCCACTGACCCCATGGCAGCTCTGCTAAAACAGATATATAGAGAGAACAAACTATATTCAGACCATGAGCTTCATGCTTTAGATGAAGTCCAGTGACTAGCAAAGAAGAAAGCTGACCTTTGATGAAGAACAAGATGAACAGAATATATTACTTGGGCAAGATTTGGAAGACATGGAAGCAGAAATTCCTATTGTAAATCTGGAGCTTGTATAACAGAAACTGACAAAACAAACAAATAAACCTTATTGTACTGGAAGCTAGACTAGGAATTTATCCTATTAGAGAGAAGCCTGAAGATGTTTAGATGCTGCCCTCTCAGACAAAGTAGCAGTCTGGGGAGCCCCTACAAGTGACAGCTGAACAAACCCTGGCCACTCTCTCAGAAAACAATATAGAAGCCAGGTTCTTAGGAAATGCATCTTGTGGCCCCTACAAGTTCAAGATACCTGCAGGCAACGTGGACAGAAAGTAACTTTGGAGCCAAAGTATTCTTCTTCAAAGCACTACTACTAAGCAGAGACTTTTTCCAGGCCAGGAAAAAGGGCCATCATGTGTGCGCCAGTAAGGAGGAGCTGGGTGACTATTTGAAACCAAAATACTTGACCCAGGTTAGGAGATTTCTTTTGGATCTCTGAAGGAGGGAGCTTCCTGTGGACAATGCTCAGACAAGTCAGGGGTTAGTACTTCAAGGATGTGTGGTTACTCCATATTTGCAGGAAATACAAGTAGCAAACTAAATTCTGAGAATTAAATGTCAAGAAAGAGAGAGAGAGAAAAAAAAAGAAAGGAAAGGAAAAGAAAAACAAGAAAGAGAAAAATGCTCTAAGGGACTCCTGCCAACCTAGATGTCCAGGCTCAAAGACCTGGGGTCACTGCTGCCTGCCCCCCATTTCCTGTCTTTGATTTTATTTTAACTCCTCCCTTTCCTGCAGCCTCAGGTTAGGCTCTTTTTTCCTGAGCTGAAAATGGGCTCAGCGATATGGATGCTACATTATACATCCTGGAACAGTGTGGCACCATGGAAAGAGCCTGTGCTTTCAAGCCAGACAACCTAGGTCTGAATCCCAGCCTGCCAATGCCTTGTGATGAGTCTTGGGTCAGTCGCAAACTTGTTGAGCTTCATCTGGCTCATCTATAGGCATGGGGCCACTGCCTACCTAAAGATGCTTGTGCCACAGCAGAACTGGCCATGGGCCATAATTGCCAACCCTATCTTTGTATCAGCCAGAACCAGTCATCACTCGACATTGATCAAGTCCTGAGAACCCTGCCTGTCATCAAGCCCTCACTCACCAGGTCACCTCATGGTATCTCAGGCAGAAGATACAGAGAATAAGCAGCAGGCAGATGTGGCCTTGAGTTCTTGATTTCAAGCTTTCTGGGCAACTGACTCACCTGGGTCAATTCCCATTCCTCATCCTTGGGTACGTGGCTATTTTTGCCAGTGAACTGACATTTCCGAAGGCCCAGTGTTCTAGCACTGGCATGTAGACACAGCTGCTTTGCGACATTGTGGCGAAGGTCCCTCTGGGTTGTGTACTCAAAGTACTGGAAGTCAAAACAAGAGGAAGTTTTGAGGAGCAGGTGGGGAGTGGCCCACTGTCTTCCAAAGCCACATGCCCTAAGACACCATCCACAGGTGGACTGCTGGGAAGGAAAGCAAGTGGACCAGGCCATGCTAAGACTCTCAGTAATTCTTGTTGCCTTCATGATTTTTATCAAATACAGGTTATATACTGGGATAACAATTAATATATATTTAGTTAAAAATTAAAATTTTCTGTGCATGGTGGCATATGCCTATAATCCTAGCAACTCAGAGGGCTGAAGCAAGAGGATCACAAGTTTGAGGCCAGTCTCAGCAACTTAGGGACTTGAGCAACTTAGTGAGATCCTGTCTGAAGTAAAAAATAAAAAGGACTGAGGACATAGCCCAGTGGTAAAGTGCTTCTGGGTTTGGTCTCCAGTATCAAAGTAAGTAAATAAATAAATAAAGTAAAATTTAATTTAGCTTAGCCTCATTTTAAGCAGCATCTGTGTGTAAAATCATGTGTTGAATATGCTAGTTCTATCTCTGCTAGTAAATTATTACTAAAATAAAAAATGTTCATCTGTGTGCCACCTAAAAATCATCTTGCAGGTCAGTAGTTTAAGAAACTGCTTTTGAATGGCTTTGTCTTCATTTGCACATGCTGACAGCCTGTTCTGGTCCCGAGCCACTTCTCTCCTTGCTTCAGCTCTGTTTTAAGTACCTCTTATTTACCAGCGGGTGTACATTTAGGGTAGTAGAGGGACAATGAATGGGGAGGTTACTAGTTATTTCTCAGGGGAGTGCTGGGGCATTCTGGGACTTAGGGTAAACTTCCAGGACGCCAGGTAATTGTGAGATGTCAGTAGGTGACCGTTTGGGGGTCCCTGCTGGGTGGGAGGATCAGAGTGGTAGTTTCTGAGCAGGGGAGATAAAAATTGAATGTAGGTAAAGGGAAATGTTCAAAAATTTTCAAATTTTCCTGCAAATATCAGCTGGCTTCCTTCCAGCAAGGCTTCTCTGATTACAGTGTTCTCTCTCATTCTTCTCTAGCACCCAGCACTGCTGCCCGTGTGCCCTCTGTCCCCAGACTTCAGGTCTTATCTGTCTGTGTCATGCATTATCCCTCAGACTGAGCTCCCTGAGACAGAGATGGTACCTCCTCTGCCTTTCAGACCACCTCCACTCCAGTCCTTGGGAAAGGACTATTTAGGGTAGAAGAAGGGAACCATGAGGAGAGGAAGTACCCCAGAGATTGGCTTCTCTTGGGTCTGCCTAGTATGGGTGAGCTGTTTACCTGATTGCCACCGAGGCCATGGCAGGAATACATGATGAGGGGCTTCCCCCCATGGTTATTCTCACCCACATCCAGGCACTGATCAATGCCAAGGTTCTTGATCTGCAAGATGGTAAACAGAGAGGGGGACCAGGGTAGCGTGACTGGGAGTTTCCAATTTTGTGCTGTGAGGCCCAACTGGAAAAAAACTTTCTCTTCTACTCATCTTCTCTGCTCATTAACCCAGATGCCAGGAGTTCTAGCAAAGTGAGGGAGAGGCAGGACTGGACATCCACCATGGGGCAGGATGCATAACCTCTTATGACATCAGGTTCCTTGGAAGATTTCTTCCTTGGAAGAAGTTTCCTTATGAGCAGTGGTTCTCAAAGCATGTAATGCCCAGACTATCAGCATCTGATTTTCAAATCCTATCCCAGTCATTCAGAATCAGAAACTTAGAATGGGGCCCAGCATTCTGTGTTTTAACACATCTCCTTGGTGATTCTGATGTGCACTGACATTTGGGAACCACTACTTATGGGTTGTTTCCTTCTGATCAGGTTTTTACCTATATCTAGAAGTCCCAAAGTGGACCCTCCATCCTCCTCCTGGATAAAAGATTGTGGTAGTAAAGGTCAATTCTTGTTTGCCATTCATAGTGGGGTAGGTGGTCTTGAACTTCTCAGGGGGTTGCTGTGATAATAGGTAGGCAGTTTGAGAACCAAACTTACAGCTCCATAGAAGGTGGGATTCAGGTCAGGAACAAACATCTCTGGGTAGATGTTGTGAAGGAACCAGGAGAAGTTGTGGCAATGTAGTTGTTCCCGCAGCCGCAGTCGTTCCGAAATGTCACCAAAGGATTTCTGCCAACCAAGCCAGTCCCCTAAGGGTCAGTTCCACAGCCTTGACCTTCCCATTTGGGTTGAGCAGCCCAGACATTGTGCTGCTCCCAAGGCCACTTTCTGTCCTGTGCATTCCCATTTAGGATCTGCTAGAGCTAGTTGTTCAGCCTCATATCCAATCTCAGACTCCCTACACCTTGGTTTGGGGTCACCCCCTGCAAAAAAAAAAACAAAAACCCGCCACTTCCTCATTTCCTGTGACTGCCAGTAAGTCCTCCTGGTTCAGTCCAAGCTTCTCAGAGTGATTCTTTTGTAAGAGGTTCTTTCTCCCAAATTTCTTCTCTCCCCTCCCCTCCTAAATAATGCTGTAATTCTCCAGATAGGGACAACAAGGGCTCCTCTAGCCTTCAAGATCTATGGCCTCCCCTGGGCTCTATCTCACGGGGCTCTTCGGGCTGAGGGGAGTCACCAATGGTACTGATGGGGTCCCTGCCATTCAGTCCCTGACTGGAGTCTGGGATTCTGTGCTTTACTTCATCCTAACACCTCTGAGCACCACTTCCTCTCACCTCTTGGGCCATCTTTGCTGCCTGCAGATTTCTCCTGTAGAAAATCTTCTTGTAGTTATCCAGCCAGACCTCAGCCAGGCGCACTTGGTTGCGAGCAATGACACTGGTCCCCTTGGGGAAGGTGTGGGGACTCTTGGTACGGAACACATGGCCTACCACAGAGCAGGGGATGATCTCCAGCTGGCCCCCACACTGCCACACCTGGCACAAGAGGAGACAGGACCGTGTCTTAGGAGGTGGGTGGGGAGGGGACAATCTCCCCTCAGGTAGCTATGTTCAGTTTCCAGGGCACTAGACTCCAGGTCCAAGGACTCAGTTAACTTTACTCTCTTCCTGGAAAAAGGGACATTGACCAAGTTTCTTCCTAGGCTGTGACTACACAATTCCAGGCTCTGTGATGTTGGTTCATTCTTGTTTAAGCAAATAGAGATTTGCAGAATCCTGAGGTCACTATGGCCCACTTTAGAGAAGAGATAGTTGGTTCACTTTGTGCTACCTACCTACTCTTCACTCTGATCACTTCACTTTTTGTCCTGAAGATGTGATTTTATCAGCTCACCTAGGTATTACTGGAAACTAAAGATCTCCCAAGTCATAGAATTAGTGCACTAGTCAACAGCAAGGACTGTCAACTGCCAAGTAGCCTGGGTAGTCACCTGGTTCCTTAGCACACCAGTTTCTCAGGAGACAGACTGAACAGTGAGTCAGAGACTCACTGAGTAGCCTAGAATCAGAATCCTGGGAGTTACTATGACTGGCCAGTGACCCTTCTCCATACCAGTGGGCTGGCCAAAAACATCCCTTCCACTGGTCTCTTCTTTTGGGTTTCATGTGTGGAGATATGTTATTGTTCTCTTTAGCTTCTGTAGTACAACCATAGTTAGATTATAGGAGATATCAATTATGTGTTTATTATGTGCCACTGTAAGAGGTGACTTCAAAAATGGACTCATCTAAGAGTGGTTGGGGAAACAGAGTCCCAGGGACCACAGGCTGCTCTGTCCAAGAACCAGGGGAGGCGGGACAGGGCCAAGATCACTGTAAATGCCTGTCTGAGGTAGTATTTCCTGGTATCAGGTGCCAGGAGAGAAAGATGCCTGGGGGTGGAGGATGATTGTAAATATATCAGCTCCACGTTATTTATAGAAAATTTACATCTGTGTGAATGTGAAATAAATGTCCTTAACTCAAAAAAAAAAAAAAGAAAGAAAGAAGAAAAAAAATGAGCTCATTTACTTATTACTTTTTACTGGCATGGGGATTTGAATAAGTTTCATAAAGAGAAAATCCTTTCTTCCTACCCCAATCTTGATTTGCCTAATTCTTAAAATCCCTCAGAGTTCTGGAATCTACCAGAATCAGGGTCTCTGTCTTCTCCTACTGTTATGAAGAGTTTATTTAACATAGACAGAGAAACCCTAAGGGGATGTATCTTTTGACACAGGAAGGAGAGCTTATTAGAATCCCCAGTCCCCCATGCCTCTATTATCCATTCCCTCCTAGTAGTTCTACCTTGTAATTTATTTCAAGTCATCCCACTGATTGCCAGAACCCTTCTGCCATGGACAGGGAGGGGAGCAGAGAAAGGGCAGACCATGACAGAAAACAGCCACCCTTTCAAGTTCAGTTCCAGATGTGACATCCCTGCCTAAAGGATAGCTCCTTGTGCTGTCCCCTGGGAAGCTGTAGTTTCCCCCGAAGCCCTCTTCACTCTCACCCGCAAGGACATTTCCACGTTCTCCCCTCCCCAGATCTCCATCTGATTATCATAGGTACCGATGTGCTCAAAGTAGGACTTGGAGATGGAGAAGAGGCCACCAGCAAATGTCGGGGACCTGGAGAGACAGAAGAAGAAGCATGTGTATCTTCTGCAGGGGGAGGAGCAGGAGGCTGTTGAGGAATGCTGTTTGTGAGCTCATTTCCTAGGCCTCCATAGCCTACCTCCTCTTCTTCCTGGGACATGTAGCCCCTCTTCTGCTAAGTCACCTGTCCACTTAACTTTTACTTTGTCCTTTTTCCCTTCTAATTCTGGGTCAAGGACAGATGTAATTATCATTACTCTCCTCTGAAAGGCACTCATTCAGAATTTCATTCAACCAAGAATGTATGAGACACCAGCCTCCAGCATGTGCTATACATGAGGGGCATCCAGAGCTGACAAGGACAATCCCATTCCCTGAGTACACAGTATAGTAGTAGAGCAGGAAGCTTCATTGCTCACTTTTTGGCAGCAATGTGCTAGAATGAAGTAAATACTCAATTTTTGGAAGTTGTGTGAAATTGTTTTAGAAAATAGGCAGGAGTCAAACTGTGAATGAATGAACACATATTATCATCTGGGCTGGCCCTATTCTATGTTGGGGTCTTTGGCCCTTCGGCGACTATAAAGCCACAGTATTAGCAGGAATCTAGCCCTGGTGTTCTAAGCTGCCTGAGAAACTCAAGATGCCAGTTACCTTGAACGGGGGAAACTGATAAAAGGTGCCCCTGGAAACAATGGGAAGAAAGTGTGAGATAAGCACTATGTTTGGACTATGAGGAGCAACTAGGAGGCCATAAAAAGATTATGGCATTCAGACAAAGGCAAGGAGGCATAGACCCAATTTAGGTAAATTGACAAAAACATCTCATTCCTAGAATTAAATACCAGGCTAAGGGTGGGGCACCTGAGTGGACAAAGGGAAGTAGAAGCATAATAGAAGGCAGGAGCACTTAGTCCTTGGCTGTTGGCTTCTGCACCTGAGCCAGGCTGGCTTGAATAGCTCTTTGCTGCCCTTAGTGGGTAGCTTCATATGATAGACCAAGCAGAAAGAAACAGAAACTTTTTGTGTAACCCCAGAACCTATCAAGGGGCTTTCATCACAGTGAGGTCCAATCAAGGTTCAATGGGCTGATCCACCAAGGTGACTTCACAAGAGCCTGACCTTGGTGTTATCCTGTAGTTGCACTAATCTCCCTGAAGTTGGCTCTTTCAGCCACTTTCTGGGAGGAATTTCAGTTGGGAAACCCGAATGCTCAGCTTGGCTTCCTGTCACTGGTTCTGTCCTCTCCCAGGGGTCCTAAGCCAGAATAAGTAGCATCCAGAGAAGCTCAGAGAGTCCTAGAACTCCAGATGGCTTTGAAGCTAACCTGCTCTTGAGAGTCTCCCCCACTGTGGCCTGTCTCATCTCCAAAAGGTCTCCTAGACTAAGTCACTGACAAATCAGCTGTGAGGATAAACCCTACACAGGGAATATCACAATAGATCCACAACCAACAAGCAACCTCTAATAAATGCCCTCTATTTCTTAGCCCTGGGATCCCTCTGGCTCATCTGCCTCTCCCCTTATTTTCTCACCTCCTCTTTGAAAGAGGAGGTGAGGAAGTCCTATAGAAGTCCTGCCATGGGCCACTCTGTGAAGTTCCTTGGGCATGCCATGACTGCCACCAGGGGATTGGAACCAAGGAGCAAATTCATTCCTCAAACACTGGAGCTTTGTTCTCCAGTTGTATGTCCCTGGATGCTGGAGCTGGGGATGTCAGTGATGAGTGGCAGCCAGGCGCCTTGTCCCTGACTGTGTTGCTATGTGCCTGGCCCCAGTCTGGGTGTGGGATTTATTGCTGTACATGCCAAACAAAAGACATCTATGGAAAAAGTGGAGGGTCACTAGGGAATTCCAATTCCTTTTCTCTCTCCTGTCCTCTCTTTTCCCTCTTTGTTTCTAATGCAGACAGACAGTTGGCAGTTCAGTATCCCTGGGCACCCGAGCTATCTCAACCGAGACTCTGGTCACCATTTCTCAGGATTCTGGGCATGTGCAATGGGAGGAACCCCAAGCCTCTCCTCCTTTCAAACCTCTCTGCACCGGGCACAGTGGCACACACCTGTAATCCCAGCAACTCAGGAGGCTGAGGCAGGAGGATCATGAGTTCAAAGCCAGACTCAGTAACTAAGCAAGGCCCTAAGCAATTTAGCAAGATGCCGTCTCTAAATAAAATATAAAAAAGGTGCTGGGGATTTGGCTCAATGGTTGAGTGCCCCTGGGTTCAATCCCAAGTACCAAAAAAAAAAAAAAAAAAAAAACCAAGCAAGATTGCATGTGGATGGTAAAACCTGTGATCTTTACTATCTGGCCCTTTACTGAAAAAGTTCAGGGCAGCAGGGTGCAGTGGTGCATGCCTGCAATCCTAGCAACTTGGGAGGCTGAGGCAGGAGAGTGGCAAGTTCAAGACCAGCCTATGCAACTTAGTGAGACTCTGTTTCAAAATTCAAAATAAAAATTTTTAAAGGCTGTGGATTTAGCTCAGTTGTAGAGTACACCTGGGTCCCTAGTACTAAAAAAAAAAAAAAAAAAAAAAATTCAGGGCAACTACAAATTGCAACAAACTTTAAACTGCAGAAAACTTATTTTCCTTAAATATGTTCTCAATCTCTTAGAGACCAGTACTTAGGAATGCATGCCACCCCTACTTATTACAATGGCTATTCAACTCTGACCTCCACCCATCTCTCACCTGTTCTTCCAGCACCATTTATGACCTAAGTGTCAAAAAGAATCAATGAGATAAAGTAGAAGCCTTAGTCCAGTGCCTGGTGCACAGTCAGTGTGAATAACAGCAAGCTGTTTTGGTGTGCAGCAGTACAGTGCCATGGTTAAGGCTGTGCGGTAGACAGAGGAGGAATATCTTTGCTACCATTTGCTACCTGCCTGATCTAAGGTCAATTATTTATCACTAGGAGCCTCAGTATAAAACAGACTATCATAGTACCTACCTCATACAGAGTGAGGATTAAATAAAAATGTCAAGTACTTGACAGAGCACCTAATAAATGCTGATGTGGGATGGCACAGGTCCCTGGAGTTGGGCAGGACTGTGGCCACGGAAGTCATGTTGGGGGCTCATCAGGCTGTGATCCTTACTTGATGGGGTAGGTCTCATCCTTGCGCCTCTGCTTCTCATGGTCAGGCAGAGTCTCCCAGCCAAAGGTCAGGCTCCAGTCAAAGTTGCCACGGCTGTGGGCTCTGCCCCGCTGGACAGGCTTGAAGAATGCAAAAGTATTCAAGTCGATGGTAACAATGTCTGGACTCACCACTGTTGTCTTGTCCTCAGCAATTCGAGCCAACAAGGGCTCCAGCCAGCCATGGAAGCACTCACCTGCAGAGCCAGACCAGGAGGTAGCAGTCAAGGTCCTCCCCACAGTTGAACCAAGCCCCACCCCAGGCTTGCATCCCTGAGACAGGTCCTTTTGACATTTTCAATGAACTTCTGCATATATTACTTCATTGGGCCTTCAGAGTAATAATTTTGTTAGGTAAATAAGATTTAGTATTCTCATTCCCATTTTACAAATGAAGAAACCGAGGCTGTTAGTGGAACAGTTAGAATGGGAACCAGAGTTTCTGACTCCAAGTCTAGAGCTTTCCCTAATATATCTCACAGCTCTTACACAATACTTTTTTTTCCCCCTGAAAATGATTGGAAAGAAGAATGATAGTGAAATATAAGATGGATGCTAGTTGGCCGATGATAATAAACGGGTATTCTGCTGGTTGACCTCCAAAACACCAGGAAAGTGTTTTGACTTTTATCAAGAAGAAGGCCTTTCTGACTCCACATGGCTCCATAGGAAAGCCCCACCCAAATTGTTCCCAGTTTGAGGTCTCTTTGAGGCACAGAGTTCAGAACAAAATATAGGTCGGGGAAAGGTGGAAGGAAGAGCGTCGAGGGCTCCAGAGTACACTCTCAGCAATTTTGGGGTCACCAATTGTTTTAGAGTTATTTGTGCCTCCTAATTAAACATCCCTGGGATTGGGGAAGTAAGGGGCAGAAGAAGAAGAGGCTCCCAAGCTTCCTTCACTCCTGAAAAAGTTGAACAGGGTGGTCTCAGCTTTTCATTCTGCCAGGAGGGAGGGACAGGTGGTAATGTGGGCCTCCTGGGTGCCAGGCAGGCATCTCCTACTCACAGTGGGCATCCAGGAACGTGAGCACCTCTCCCTGCGCCACGCTGGCCCCCAGCAGCCGAGCAGTGATCAGCCCCTTCCGCTCCTCCTGCCGCACCACTCTTACGATCTGCAGCTGCTGCACATACTGTTCCAGCTTCTCCTTCAAGTATTCTGGAAGGGACAAGGCCACTGTTGCCAGTTCACCGCTTTGTTGCAAACTTAATCCCCTGTGGGTACCAAGCCTAGGTGCTCTAAGGTCACCAGCACACCTGAATGCCAAATACCCCCCACCCCCACTGCATTGAGCCACTCCACAAAAGGCTGAGGTGAAAAAGGGGGACGAGGGAGGATGGCAGAGGAAGGAGGAAGTCCCATCTGCAGCCAAGTCTCCTTGGGGCTTTGTGGTGCCTGTTTACTGAGGCACCTCTCCATATTCCATGACAGCATCTCAGAGTTGTGTTTTGTGAATACAAAATAACAAAGGCTCTCAAGTGCCTCTCACAGTTTCTCTACTGTCCCTGACACTGCCTTCAGAGCCGTGATTCCGCCTCCTTCCCCCTCACACCTGGTGGGTGCTCCCTCATTTCTCAGTGTCTATGATTCCCTGTCTTCCAGGATCTTTGGAATAAGTTTGACTGACAGAGCAAACACGGATGTTGACTGCTTGCCAGTCAATCAACTGCTGGATCATCAGCAAGAAGTCTTAATACTTTTTCCTTCATCATCATCTTTTTTTTTTTTTTGGTGCTGAGGATCAAACCTATGGCCTCACTTATGCTAAGGTTAGCACTCTACTACTGAGCTACACCCTTAGCCTTTTTTATTTCTGAGACAGGGTCTTGCTAAGTTGCCCAGGCTGGCCTAGAATTTGTGATCTTCCTTCCTCAGCCTCCTAACTATCTGGAATTAGGGCTGGGGTTGTGGCTTAGCGGTAGAGCGCCTGCCTCACACGTGTGAGACCCTGGGTTTGATCCTCAGCACCACATAAAACTAAATAAACAAAATAAAGATATTGTGCCCATGTATAACTAAAAAAAAAAAAAGTATATGGAATTATAGGCATGTGACACCATTCCTATAATCAATCAATCAATCTCTCTCTCTCTCTCTCTCTTTCGATATACACATACACTTTAAAAAACAACTATACACCAGTTATCTGCCATGGGCCAGTCACAGTGTTAGGGACTAGTATACAGTGATTACAACTGTATGATATTTGACCTAAAGAACACATTGCCCCATGATCTGTCAGTGATCTGCTAGGGGTAATGCAGGCTGGGCCATTCTTGCAAGAGGACCAAACATTTGAATTAGAAGGCAGCAAAAAAAAAAGCTTTCTGAAAGGAGGGGCATCTTCACTGAGATCTCCAGCTCCTTTTGAGAGGGAGTATTCTGTTTCTTTACTGGCCTTTACACTGGCTGTTCTCCTGGTGGGGAGCATTCAGAGTGATCTTCCCTAATGATCCTGGTACTCCACCTGAAACCCTCAGCACATTAAAAATAGCTCTATTCTGAAGGAATCCATCTTGAAACATATTCCACATATACCTGTGCCACTGTTCTAGTCTCAGTTGTGCAGAATGGAGATTCTTTTTTTTTTTAAATTTTTTATTGTTGGCTGTTCAAAACATTACATAGTTCTTGATATATCATATTTCACACTTTGATTCAAGTGGGTTATGAGCTCCCATTTTTACCCCATATACAGATTGCAGAATCACATCAGTTACACATCCAAGAATGGAGATTCTTGTAGTGTTAACAACTGTGGCAAATCTGTGTCCTTTCCTTTTGGATCCTGGGATCAGCCCAGTGCACAGGCCCTGCTCTGAATTTTACAAACCCCATGAAATCAATTTAGCAGACTGCCACTAATCCTGCACACATACACACATGCACACTATAGTGAACACTTGAGTACCTACTATGTGCTATTCACTGAACTAGGTATTTTCATGTTGACTTCCTTCTTCAGTCTTTTCAATAACAACTCTACGGAACAGGGAGTATTACCCCTGATATTAACAGATGAAAAAAAAATAGATGAAAGACTCAAGAGTGATGAGCCCAGAATCACAGCAAGTGCAAAGGGCAGCTGTGGGTTCCTAACCAGCCTGCGTCTGAGGTGAGGACACTTGGCCAGGACAATATGCATGGCTTCAAGGTGGTCTCTGCAACCTCTTGCAGTTATCTGAGGCCTTACCACTTCCCCACATGTGAAACCCCAACAGGGAAGGAGATAGATCAAGCTCCTCTTTTTGCTTTTACTAAGGGGGGTAGAGCCCAGGGGAAAGAAAATATAATTTGGATTTTGTGTGTGTGTTGGGTGGGAGGCACTACTAAGGCTTGAACCCAGGGGTGCTTTACCACTGAGCTACATATCAACCCTTTCCATTTACTCTTTTAAAAATTTGAGACAGGTTCAAATGAAGTTGCATAGCCTGGCCTTGAACTTACAAACCTACTTGTGCAGTCTCCCAAGTGGCTAGGATTATAGGCGTGCCCCACTGTGCCTGGCTATAATTTGGAACTTCAACTCTTCTCTTTTCTTCAATTCTGGATAGACAGGTATTCCAGACATGGTGCTGCCTTCCTTGTGAATGGAATCCTTTAGGCAATCACTCAAAAGGGGAGCTGTATCTTACTTACTCCAGGAATGAGAACTCTTCCCTCTGGTATCAGGATCTTATGAGTCAAAATTAGCCTCCCATGGCAGCTTCAGTTCAGTGATCTCTTAGTGAACATCTGATAATGCATTTCCAGGTGCCAGATATTGTCCTGTGCAGGGAGAAGCCTACCAGGTCCTGCCACCAGGGATTTTGTAGCCTTATGACCCAACCACAAGCCCAGGGGCTGGTTCTGACAGAAAAGAGGGAGGAACCCCAAGCAGAAGCCTCACCTTCTCAGCATGGCTCATATTTCCCCTGAGAACTGGTTTAATCTGCTCACAGGAAGCTCATGGTAGTGGAGGTAACCCAGAGTCAAAACATCATAGGAAGTGGGTTTTGTGGTAACTGAGAAGCACTGAGCTGTGATCCTCAGGGGGATCTGAGCTCTGCAAAGTTCTCCCACGATTTCCTTCCAGTCTCACGTGGCTAGGCTAAACCTGGGGATTCTGAGCCTGAGAGGCTCCCAGTCCAAGGCTTCTGTCCCTTCTAGGGAAATGAGACAGTTCCCTAAGAAAGACCCCCTGATAATTCTCCAATGGCCCCACCCTACTAACATACAGAGAATACCAAAACTGAGCATGGAGACAGGCAAGCCCATCTATGCTGTCTCATGTTTCTCAGATGACAGTCTTTTAATTTAGGTTCAGCACTATCACTCCAACCATGCTTACTCCTCAAGGCTCGAATCCACAAGACTGCAGTTGCCCTCAACACTCATGCCCCATGCAGCCCCATGGTTTGAAATAAATACCATCTATATGTGGAAGATTCCCAAGTCTTCCTTCCTGGCCTTGTCCTCCTCTTCATTTGGACATCTAACAGAACTGCAAACCTAATATATGTCTCCCAAACAACTTCAGATCCTAACCCACCTCCCTACCCAGTTTCCCCCCTGTCAGCACAGGGAACCAGCATTTCTCCAGCTACTCCAACTTGGAGTCATGTGGATTCTTCTTCCCTTTTCTCACTGTCCATGACCAGCCAGCCCATCAACAGGTTCTGCCAGTTCTCTCTCCATCCCGTCGTTGCCCCAGCACAAATGTCTTAACGGTCTCTGGACACCTCAATTCTACACTACTCTCTCCAAACTATTCTTAACACAGTCACAGTGAGCAACCAAGCTATCTTTTAAAACTATAAATCAGATCATTTCACCAATAATGGTTTAAGGTACACTTAAAAACAAATCTAAACTGTATGGTGGTTTCTTTTTAAAACTATAGAATATCATATGAGCCAGCAATTCCATTTCTGGTTATATACCAAAAAAATTCAAAACAGGGACTCTGATCTTTGTACATCCATGTTCTAAGCAGCACTATTCACAATAGTCGAAAGGCAAAAGCAGCCAGGCACAGTGGTGTAGGATCACAAGTTCAAAGCCAGCTTTAGCAACTTAGGCCCTGAGCAACTTGGTGGACCCTATCTCAAAACAGAAGATAAAAAGGGCTGGGGATGTAGCTCAGTGGTACAGTGGCTCTGGGTTCAATCTCTAATACCAGAAAACAACAACAACAACAATTTAAAAAAGCAGAAGCAACACAAGTATCATCAACAGATCAATGGATAAGCAAAATGTGGTATATGCATAGGATAGAATATTATTCTGACAGATGTTCTGATATAGATGAGTCTTAGATATATTACTACATTAAAGAAAATAGTCATGAAAGAACAGATGCTGTATGATTCCACCTATATGAGGTACCCAGATCCATCAAATTCACAGAGGCAGAAGGTAGAGTGGTGGTTTCCAGGGCTGGGGGCAAGGAGGATGGGGAGTTGTGGTTTAATGGGTACAGAGTTTCAATATGGGAAGATGAAACTGTCAGGAGCCGCTCTGGACAGGAGCTGTGTACACACCTTTAAGTCCTGAGTAAAGAGGTACTGAACTGGTATTGTACCCATTGCAATGCAATTGGACTTTACCTCCGCTGAGGTAAGAAAGATGCAGCTCCAGGAGTAGGCGTCACCGGATGGGGTTGAATTACACCCACCTGTTTGTTGCAACCCTACCCTTTGCCCTTTTTTGGATAGAATCTTCCATAGATTAGCTCCCCCCATTAATAAAACCCAGGTTTGAGGTGTGCTCCCTCTCTTTCTTGCCTACCTTGCCCCCCTGGTGGGAGCTCAGCTGAGGAACAGTCACTGAACCCAATGAAAAAGGTATTTCTCTGACTTTGTGTGATTATTTCATGTCAGCTCAAATTCACTTGGAGTGACCCTGATTGATTTAGTGGCGGGCAGCCACATGAAACCATTCTGGAGATGAACAGCCATAGCCATGATGGTTGCACAACAATGTGAGTATATTTCATATTAATGAACTCTGTCATTAAAAATGGTGAAAATAGTGAATTTTGTTACTTATGTTTTACTCCCCCTCCCCCCTCACACACACACAAACACATACTGCTCACTGCTTATAAAGGTCTTGTGATTCAGTCCCACTCATCCTTTTTTAATTTAATTGCAGTGCTGAGGATTGACCCCAGGGCCTCATGCACACAGGCGAGTGCTTTACCACTGAGCTACTCACACCCTCTAACCCCTGCTCGCTCACTGTACCAGTGTTCTTTCTGCTTCCTTGCCCACTTGCTCTCAGCTTCTTTGGCCTTCTTTCTGTCCCATAAACATGCCAAGCCTTAGGGACTTTGCACTGACTGACTGTTTTGCAGACATTATTGCTGAGATGCCAATGGGGATGGAGACAGAATCTCTTTATGGGGAGAAACAGAAGAATGTAAATAGGGTTAATATGGAGACAAACTGCAAGTAATAAAGCAACTTTACTTGTTAAAACAGACGCTGGAAGTTGTAAGTCAACTACAGTCACAGCCTTTGAACAATTTCTGATTATATCACTGACAACTCTTAGGAGGTTCAGGAAGCCTCAAAACAGCCACTCACTTCAGTTCTGACAAGCAAGGGATACAGAAGCAGGAGAATCTTGGGGGGTTTCCTACAGTGCATTCATAGGGTTCCTGCTGGGCACCTAGACAGGAGGACAGGGAGCAGGGACACTGCATTTCAGCAGAGGCACAGCCCTTGTTTGTGTGTGTGTAATGAGAGCTGCCCCTTTTCTCCTATCCTGTCCTTGCTCATCTCACTTCCCTCCCCCCACCTCCTCACTCCTAGCCTCTAAGGCTTGTGTTCATTTCTCCACTCTTTCTGGGCCCTAGGTATGTATCTGATTCCCCTATTCAACCAGTAAATCTTGCAGGAGGGAGGTCTAGGTTGTCTCTTCCTCAGCCTCCCCCTGGGGCAGGACAGGGCCTTGAACATGGAATGTACTGTTTAGGGTATGGCAGACTGATGGGTTGGGGGCCAGTTTTCAGAAGCTAGTAGTGTTTGCCAGACCAGGAGTGAACCCTGGACACTGACCCAGTCACTCAGGAGTGAAATCTGTGCCCTGATTTTTGACTGGGAGGTAGGAAAAAGAAAAAGTCTCCCAGCCTGGTACTGGGTCTCCACCCATCTCAGTATCAAATACCCAAATACTCTTGGTCATAGGGTTCCTGCTGGGCACCTAGACTGGGACAGAGAGCTGGGACACTGCATTTCAGCAGAGGCACAGCCCTTGTTTGTGTGTGTGTAATGAGAGTCGTTTAATCTGATTGAATAGTCAAATGCATAGGAAATTTTACCCCACTGTGGACTGCAGATCTCTGACCAAGAAGCTGAGGTTTTTCTTTTGTTTTGCTTTTGCCTTTTCCCACTCAACAGTGCCTAAAGTATCTTTAGAGTCTGAAAGCCCTCAAGGTTGGGTTGTTTATTTTATTTTACTTATTTACTTCTTATTTATTTTGTGGTATTGGGGATTGAACACAGGGCCTTGTACATGCTGGGAAAGCACTTTACCACTGAACTACACCATTAACCCTTTTTTATTTTTTGCGGCACTGGGTATTGAACCCAGGGGTGTTCTACCACTGATCTACATCCCCTACCCTCTTTATTTCCCATTTTTTTCTTTTTTATTTATTTGTTTATTGTTTATTTATATATGAAAGCAGAATGCATTACAATTCTTAGTACACATATAGAGCACAATTTTTCATATCTCTGGTTGTATATAAAGTATATTCACACCAATTGATGTCTTCATACCTGTACTTTGGACAACAATGATCATCATATTCCACCATCATTAATAACCCCATGCCTTTATTTCTCATTTTGAATCAGGCTCTTCCTAAATTACCCAGGTTCGCCTTGAACTTGTGATTGTCCTGCCTCAGCCTCTTAAGTAGCCATGATTATAGGTGTGCACCACTATACCTAGCTAGGATTGTTAAGTTTAGAGTGCACAAACTCTCTGTGGGGGCTGCACATTGTTGAGGGCGATGGTGCTCTAGTCTCAGTGGAGGAATAGAGTTTTCAACGAATTCTTGGAGCAGGCTGACAGAAAAATAAGGTCCAAGTTAGGTTTTTCAGGAAGATGAGCTAGGGGTGCTAGAATTGTCCTTAAGAGAAAGTCCAGGGCAACAAGGTAGGAACAACCAGAGAGAATGTGAATATGTGTCTGACGGCTGCTAGGAGCAGAAAGAAGTTTTGGAGAGGTGCCTGGGGCTACTACAAATTCTGCCCTACGAGGCACAGGCTGTTCTGCCCTTTAGATGCTTCCTATGCCAATCTGGCACTCTGTCATTTGTCCATCCTGGTCACAGGAGTGGCTTAACTGGGTACTTATGAACTCAGAAAGTCCTGTGAAAGCAGTTCATATCTCCCACCCTATGGCTCAGGGGTTGAAGATTCTGAGGGATGAGTAGCACAGGGCTGGGGGAGCAGGGGTGCAAAAGAGCCTGGTATGAGAGGAAGCTGATACACTCGCTCCTGCTCCATACAGCCATTCTATTTGCTTGTAAGAGCCCTTTTAGGCCACTCCCAAGACCCTCCCATATCTGCCCAACTTTTGCCCTTCCCTTTCCAAAAGCCTAATCTATACATTCCTTGTCCACCAGTCTCTGACCACATTCCTGACACTTACCTTTGTAAATGATGCCAAGTGTCTTCTTGCCTGGGCAAATGTTAACTCCCGAAGAAATGGGTTCGACAGTGCTCATACTCAGGTCCTCCTTTAACAGCCCTAGTCCTCTTTCAGCATCTCCCACAACCCAGAGGGCAGGAGGAGGCTGGGGAAGTGAGGAGGGTCAACTGTTCTACTAGAGTGGTCCAGAACATACGCTGCAGGTGTGGAGTCAGTTCCTGCCTTCAATATGGGAGTTTGGATATGGAGGCTTGTCTGGGAGAGCCCCAGCCACCACAGGCCATCTGAGAGGAGGCACCAGCACCTGGAGACTCCCAGTCTGTCTATGCATCAGTCCTACAGCCCCTTTACTAGTCTGGAACCATCGTCCCACTTTCAAGTGGTTCTAAGAACTCATTCTTTGGACTCTGAGTCGTCTGCCTATCTTCTTGCCAATTACCCTCCTCCAAAGCTGCCATCCTTCTGAAACAAGGTCACTGTCCAGCTTAAACACTTTCAATGACTCATTTCTCCCTAAATAAATACATTTATCCTGGTATGAATGTTAATTCAACATCTTTTTGGACTCATTTCCTACCATAAACCCAAGCTTCAGCCACACTAGATCTCTCCAACAAACAAATTCATTTCTCTAGGATTCTGTTTATGTTGTTCTCTCTCCTGGGAATGCCCTTTATCCATTCCTCTTTCCTAGACATTCATTCTTTAAGGCCCATCTCCAATCTGGCCTCCCCTGTGAACCAGGCCCAGACATGCAAGGCAGAAATAACACCTCTGTCTCTAGACTCCCATGGAACATGGCCCCCACACAATGAATAAAATGAAACCATTGCTTAGGGAGCGATTGATTATTTGATGTCAATTACTCTGTGTCACATGAATCATCTCATTTATCACCTATCTCAGACCCCTTACCTACCATATAAAGAATTCAATTGTCCTCATTTTTAGAAAAGGAAACCAAAGTTCATAGAGGTTAAATGCTTGCCCAAGCTCACAGAGCTAGGAAGAGTCAGAGCTGGGATTTAAATTCATGGAGTTGGACTCCCAAGTCCACACCCCTTCATATGTGTTCATATGGCCATACCACTATCTGACCTGTGAGGGCTGTTAGTTGGCCTTTTCAGGATAGGGTCTGTCTTGTTTGTCAAGACACCCCGTGGGCCTGGGTCAGTGCCAGGCACAAGCACTCAGTAAATGTTTGTGGAGTTGATTGAAGTGAGCAAGTAAGTGAGCAACCTCACTTACCTATTAACAACCATAGCAAAAAGAGCTTCTGAGGTGGAGACTTCAGAAGAGTGTTCTAGCAGGAAGGCAACAGGGAAAGGCCTGTGTCTACCCTCTGCCTTGTCCTTGCCCAGCATTTCTGAGTTGAGGTTGAGCCTGGCAGCTCTCAGGGAGTCCTGAAGGCCAAAGCTGCAAAGCTCTTAGAGTTCTTGGGGTCCAGTGGGAATAACATTCGGGCTCTACAAATGTAGTCTCCCTGCCCCCCACCTGTCTTCTGCTCCTGGCGTCTATGATGAGTGCAATGCCAGGCAACAGGCCTGATTCCTTGAGAGAAACTGTCCTCCTTCTCAGAGTACCCCTGGGACCCCAGCCCCTCCTCAGGGCCCCTCAAGCCTCACCCTCAGTGCTGGCATCATCCACCAGTATGATCTCCTTCAGCAAGATGGCAGGGCTGGTGTATAAGACACTGTACACCGTTCTCAGCAGTGTGGACCAGGCCTCATTGTGGAACACAATAATGACACTGGTGCTGAGCAGTGGGGGGCAGCGCGGGAATTTCTGGTCCACACACCTGGAAGGATGGGAGAATGGAAACAGCTGTCCAGGTCCATGGAAATTCTAGGAGTAGGAAGGGCTGGGTCTAAAGCTCCCCTAAACCATCCTTTGTTCCTGTGAACCGCCAGCTGACATCCCCTGCTATGGCTCCTTGATTTCCTATCACGTGCTCTGAGCTTTGCACAGGTCCTAGCCAACACACCCCAACCTCCCCTGGTCTCCAGAGCTGGCTCAGTGCTCCAGATGTGATGCTCAGTCTTTCCCACCTCCTCCTTCCTTCATCTGTTCTCTACTATCAGGCTAGGACTTCCCAGGGCTGACTCTTTGTCTGTAGTATGTGTACTGCGTAAAATGAAATCCAGTCTAGAAGTCCCCAAGGGGTAAGTGATAAAGGGCAAATTTGACATTTGAGAACGTTGACTACAATTTTCTTACTCAATGTGAGGAAAAAAGGTTCTTCCATTTTTAATTTACAGTTCCTCTCTAATCCATTTCCCTATTAACATCCTATAATACAATTCTACTATCACAGTCAATTTCCTGCAAACTTTTCTCTATTCCCATCTACTACAACAACCATTCTGTGGCATTTGGTCACACTGCCATCTAGACACTCCATCTTTGGGTGAGAATCTGGAGTTCGGTAATCCCATGGTTTAACACCACTTCTAGTACCCCTCTGTTGTTCAGAGAGATTGCTCATGGGCCCTCCAGAGAGATTCTCCAATTTCCTCCACTGTGCCTGAAACAATGCCCTCCTTTGCCAACAAGCTCGCAGTAACACCAAGTGACCCTTGTTCTGGGTTATGATACTTGTAGTCCAAGTCTGAGGAATTCCAGGCTCATAGCCCTAAAGGATCCTGAATTTGGGATGAAGAGCTGCATGTGAGAAAGGCCAGAAAGAGTCTAACATTTTTGTTATTGTTGTCACTGGGGATTGAACCCTGGAGCACTCTACCACTGAACTACACCCCCAGCCCTTTGTATTTTTTTATTTTATTTTGCGACAGGTCTTGCTAAGTTGTTGAGTCTAGCCTCAAACTTGGATCCTCCTGCCTTAGCCTCCCGAGTCACTAGGATTACAGGGGTGGGCCACTGCACCCATCAAGGGTGTAACTCCTAAATTGAAAAAGACAAAGGCTGAGTGGGGACTCAGAATCTTTAACTTGAAGACAGTGTGAACACAGCTGTGGCCACATTAGATGAGGTGGGGGCAGCTCAAAGATGGAAGTGTTGATTTCATCATCAAGACTGAGAATATAAACAGTTTCAAATAAAGGCTGGAATGACTTCATGGTCTTGTGGCCTTCACTGGAGGAAACCAGGTGGTGTGAGGACATTCCAGACCTCCAGGGCTGTAGTTAGGAAACATCAGCTCTCCCAACAGGTTTGCCTCGGAGTCCCACTGATTCTGGGACAGGCCTCAGCAGAGGGTAAGGCCACTGAAACCACAGCCTGCTATCAGTCCTTCCCAGGTACCTCTGTCCCCAATACTAGTCCCAAACCCTGAGTTCCTTCTTCTCTATCCTGTCACCTTCATAACTGTGTTTCTCTCTCTCAGGTCTCTGTAGGTCTCTGACCTGCCCATAATATTCCTTTAGTTCTTGGGATAAGGACAACTGGTCAGTGAAAGAAAAGAGGGCTTATAGGAAATCCTTCCTTGTACTCTCAAATGCCCTTCAACTTTATTCCTGGCACATGGCCTGGGGCCACAGCCCTAACTTCAAAATCTCTGGTAAAGCCCGGGCCTCCACCCAGGACTCAGTGCTACTTACTCAGGGGGTCGGGTGTCTGGCCCCAGGGCCCTGTGCAGGGAGATCCGGTCACTGGCAAAGGCATTGAAGCAGTGCTTCTTATAGCCCTCTTCCTTTTCCTGGATCTCCAGGGGGGTCCACTCACTCTTCTCAAATGCGGTCCCGTCTGCCCCAGGGCTGTTGGGGTCCTGTGGGGGCCGTTCCCAGAAAGGCTTCAGCTCAGCTGGGGTATAGAACCCAGGCAGGCAGGACTGGTTTATGGAGACTGGAGCCTGCTGGGGCTCTGGAGCCCTGATCTGAAGCTTGGGCATTGAATCTCTAAGGTTGTTCACAGCCCCTAGCATGATGTCCAGCACGTGATCCTTCTGGTTCACCAGAGACTTCAACCATGGTTTCTCCGTGGTCTGCTTCCTGCTACTTATGTCCTTTTGCCGGATGAAGAGGAAAAGCATGAAGGCACTGCCCACCATGGCCAGCCGCAGGGTCATGTGCCGTCTGCGGAGGAGCCTCATCCTCCACAACCAGTGGGGACCCCAGCAGGCTCAGCTCCAAGTACCAGGCCTGACCCTGAAAATAGCTTGATATGTCGTGGTGGCCACACTGTGGGGTCTTGGCCTGAGAAAGGAAGGGAGAGAGAAAAATGAGGCAAGATAGGGGTGGGGAGGGAGCTGGGGTTTGGGGCTATAGTCCAGGCTCTTTTCTGAATAGTGGCATCACCTTTAAACGGTCACAATGTGCTGGTGCTTAAATCTTGTTCATTTGTAAACTAAGAAACTGGGCTCTGTTTCTTTCTTGCCCTAAGATTCTGACATTTCATGGATTTGGGCAATTGGAACATTGAAACTCTACAGGAAGACACTCAATCAACATTAACATTTTAGGAAACAACTTGGTACTAACAAGTAAAATGTATGTTTGTATGTATTGGTACTAGGGATTGAACCCAGGGTCACTTTACTGCTGAGCTATATTCCCCATCCTTTTTATTTTCTATTTTGAGACAGTTGCTGAGGGTCTCACTAAATTGCTGAGGCTAGACTTGAGCTTGCAATTCTCCTTTTTGGCTTTCAGAGACACTGGAATTTCAGCCGTATGCCACCACACCTGCCAGGTTTGTTTATTTAAAATTTTACTTGGTTAGCCAGATATAGTGGCCCACACATCTATTCCCAGAGACTCGGGAGGACAAGGTAGGAGGATCACAAATTTGAGGGCAGCCTCAGCAACTTAGTGAGATTCCATCTCAAAAAAAAAAAGGTCGGGGGCAAAGGCTGGGGATGTAACTTAGGGATAAAGTTATATCCCCAGCCTTTCTGAATAGTGGCATCACTACTCAGTGAGTTCTTCACTGAGTTCTATCTACCCCCAGTACTGAGTACTCCATTCCTACTTTTATGTCCCAGATAAACTCTACTGCATGCAAACCAGGAAGCCTAGACAAGCTGTCAAAACCACAAAAATCTGGTAACCATCTACAAGTACATTGGCAACAGAATGAATAAAGTGTGAAATAGCTGCACTATGAAGTTCTCTACAGCCATAACAAAGAATGAACCACTTCTCCATGCAACATGTAGACCTTTGGTTGGGTGGAAAAGCCAGTTGCAGAAAGACTTACATAGGGGTAGGGAATGTGGCTGAGTGGTAGAGTACTTGCCTAGCATGCATAAAGCCCTGGGTTTATTCCCTAGCACCATAAGATCAAATAAAAGGAATACACATATGGTGTGATTCCATTTACAGACAATTTGAAACCAAGTTGACACTAAACAACATGTTGTTATGAATACAAATGCATTTTTGTATTCATATTCATATTAAATAGGTATTAATATAAACAATAAAGAAACTAAAGGAACAATAAAGCCAAAGTTTCTGAACAAGGAAAAAAAAGGTATGGGATTAGAGATGGGCAATAGGGAACTTAGAAATAGAGCTTGACTTTGCCCCGAATTAAATAATAGCTGCTGTTCACCAGAAGTCTTACTGATAACATCAACAGTCAATCGATCATATTTGGTATATATAATAGATATGGTGAAAAATGCGCATGAACCAGGGATCACTTTTTAGTGTGATACTCAATTTTCTGAGGAGAGAAACTGCTCATTTGAAGATAATTAGTGTTGCATGCTGTTTCAACTGGATACTCGAAATAATGGAACTCACCACCACAGCAACAGGAGGTAGCTACAAAATTATTACAGGAGTACAATATGTACAAAGTTATTTTACGTAGTTATGATTTGTTTTTTGGTGCTGGGGATATAATTCAGGGCCTTGTGCATGCTAATTACACAATTTAACACTGACTTACATCCCCAAACCCCAGTTATGATTTAATATTGTACCTTTACATTGGCTACATTTCTCTCCATTCAAATGGTATCATGTGTGGTCTATATTTGTGTGCTTAAATTCTGATAAAATTTAGTTTTTTACATCTGGGCACGGTGGTGCATGCCTGTAATACCAGTGGCTTGGGAGGCTGAGGAGGGGAATCACAAGTTCAAAGCCAACCTCAGCAAAAGCAAGACACTAAGCAACTCAGTGAGACTCTAAATAAAATACAAATTAAGTCTAGGATTGTGGTTCAGTGGCCAAGTGCCCCTGAGTTCAACCCCTGATAACTCCCCCCAAAAGAAATTAACTTTTTATAATAGATTTTTGTATATTTTATGTTAGTAAATAATAAAATAGATTAAAATAAATTTTATCTACCTATATTTCACATACTCATGACATATCTAATATTTTTCAATATTTACAGGATAAAAGATTTGTCAGTTTTTTAAACTGGTGAAAATCTCCCTCTTCACACACACACAAAATTCATGTATGAATGCACCCACACAGTTTAAACTCATATTGTCCAAGGACCAACTAACTATTCTTCCAAATCTACTCATTTATAATGAAAATTTAAAAAAGATCTTTAAACTTAAGATTTTATGATACCTTCCAGGCAGGACCAAGCATGGGTGCTCATCAGTTTCCAACCTCAGGAATGTATCCCACACCTCAAAGGATGAGTATTTGCAAAACTTTCCTGGGGCCAGCTCTGGAAGTCTAAGGCTCACTGATGGAGCACTAGATGTTGGTGGCAAGAGAATGGAGCATGAATGCAGTACTGCACCTATAGTAACAGCACCTACCTCCTAGGGTTGGTATATGGATTAACTTTGAAAAAAAAATGTGGAAAAAATTGGCAGTCTCTGTACATATTAAGTTCTCAAAAAGCATTAGTTATTATCACTAGGCATGCAAGACCCTTGGTGATTTATTTAATCCCTCTAAGTCTCAAATTTCCTCATCTATAAAGTGGGAATAACTAATACCTAACTCACAGGGTGCTGATGAGGATTAAATGGGATATTGTACGTAAAATACCCAGCAGAGTGCCTGGCGTTTACTAAGCTCTCAATAAGTGGTATCAAGTATTTCTATTATGATAATTAATGAATCCCTGCTCAACCTCCCAGGAATTAACCTCAAGCATCTGGTCCCTGGCCAAAACCACGATGATCATCCCTTGCATATTTTGCTTAAAAGTAACTCTGGTTCAGCTCTTTATTTCTGCTATTTAAACCTACTCTCTCCTGCCCGTGGGGAAGCCTGGCATAGTCACTTACATCTGGGGAATACATGGCTGTCATAATCTCGACAGGGAGCAGGGTTTGCTCTGGGCATGGGGAGACTGGCACTTTCTTTCATAACATTAGATTCAGCAGCAGCATCAAAAAATCAAACAAAAGAAATCTCTTTGGGCATTTGGTTTGCATTTTTTGTATTGTCTAGGAGATGGGAGAGATTTGTTCATTCTGCCAATATTTATGGGATATCTGTTATCTGCTGGCAACTCTGCAAACTGTGGGAACATAGGGGTGAACAAGGCCCAGGGAGTGTTCATCAGTTGAGGGAGTAAGATGTTAAACAGTGATTACTCAGCAAGATGGTAATACAAGAGAGGCACCTTGGGTGATGAAAGAGAAGGGAATCTCAACAAATATTGAAAAGTAGAGACATCCCATCAGGGGAGGAAGCTTGTGCTGAGCACCAACACAAGAGTAGGAGTCACCCTGGTGAAGTGAGCATGTTCCAGGCAGAGAGAAGAGCACAAGCAGAGGCCTAGGGGTGGGAACAACATGGCCAATCAGAAAACGGAGAGCCATCTGCTATGGTGGGAGTATGAAGTCTGATGGGAGCAACAGCAGATGAGTCTGAACAGGCAACTGGGGAGTTTGCCCTTGACCTGAGGTGTGAGCAACAACAAAGGATTAGCTGGGAGCCCAGAATTCCAGGAGAAGCAATATAACAGCTGGTACAAAGCGTCTAGGAAAAGGACCTGCTTGGCAGCTGGATGGTCAGTTAAGAGAGGCCTGAAGGGTCTGACCCAGTAGAGCAGCAGAGCCAATGAAGAGGGGGAATGTAGTGATGGGGTGATAGCAAAACTCCCTTGAGTGTTAGGGTGGGACACAGAGGGACGTGAAGGAATGCAAGACTGAATTCCTGTTCTCCAGGGATTTAAAATTCTTGCTGGAGAAAGAGGTGGTAGCAGGGGGTACAAGTAGCACCTGTCCCAGGAGGAGACAGGGCAGAAAAAAAAAAATCTTTCACAGAATCTCCTTTTGTCCTTTGAACCCTGACTATATTACCTATTCAAAAGTTCATAACAGTCAGATGTGGTGACACATGCCTGTAATTTCAGTGTCTCGGGAGGCTGAGGCAGGAGTTCAAAGCCAGCCTCAGCAGTAGCAAGGTGCTAAGCAATTCAGTGAGACCTGTCTCTAAATTAAAAAACAAACAAACAAACAAATGAAATAGGGCTGGGAATGTGACTCAGTGGTCCAGTCCAGTGCCCCTGAGTTCAATCTCTGGTGCACACACAAAAAAGTTTATAACATTAAAACTTAATGATAGCCTAGAGAATTAGCTGAAAAGGTAAGACTTTCCTGTGGAACTGAAGGGGGTTTAAGGGAAGAAATGAGGGTTCAATGTAAAGGCAGTTTTCTGACCCTGGTTTAGAACTATGCTGGGGTCAATCCAAAGGGTTCTCATTGAGCTAAACACCTCATTAATTCTTGGAACTGCTGCAGCCAAGCCCAATTGGAGAGCTACAGAATGGTATAGTATGGAACATTCTGCAGGCAACATGTTTTCTGCTATCTTCTGTCTACCTTCCCCCTCCAGCAAGAAAGAGAACACAGTTAACAATGAAGGTGTGGTAACATTGTGCTTATTAGCAGTACCCACTGCTTTAGGACTCACCTCCTCTAGGAATGTGAGCCACCCAGGTCACTCCAGCTCACTCTTTCTGGCACTGCCTTCTGGTCCCCGAAGCAGGGTTCGTCTCCTTTATTTCTCCTGGAGAAAGAGAACTAGGGTCAAAATGAGCTGCTCCCAGGCATTCGCTCTCTCAGTCCAACTAGCTGTCTAAAACTTTTCTTTCTGGAATCTATAGTTCCTCAAGGTACTCACCACATCCTGAACTGAAACAAGACACCTGTGATTAGGCTTGGCAGTAATCACTGTCTGGTTTGTTTGCTCGGCATGCAGGCAACCAAATAGTCCCTCAGAAGAGATACATAATCCAGTGGGCCACAGGAGTTTGGGATTAAAAATTCCTGCCCTGTGCATAGGAGATGATTCCCACAAGTGCGGTTAGCAAGAGCTGGGTGGTCACCCCCTCCACCAGCCTTGGAGAAGGAATAGCTCCTACTGTGGTACTTTGTTAAGTGCAAGGCTTCACAGGATCCACCTGCCATGTCCTGCCTATCTCCCTCACCTTTGGGGTCCCACACCCAGGGCCACTGATAAAACAAAAAGTGCCCATAGTGCTTGTCCACTTACTCCCCTCCTGCTGTTGCTGATCATTTGTCTTTTTAATTCATCAGACTCTCAATTCACTGAGATAATGCCAGAAATCCTCTTATGGGAAGTCTTCCTAGATTAAATGAATGGGACTTGCTTCCTGGGCCCCACCAAGCAAAACAGGAATGTACCTTCTCTCTTGGGTGTGAGGACCAGGAGCCAGAGGCTAGCCAACCACTAACCAAACCTCTTACAGTGCTATAAAATAACTTAAGAATGTGGCAGATCAGCATGAAAAATAATTCTTGAAAAGAATGAATGATGAAAAAGGAATTATCAAATTGTATCACATGTAATATGGGTAGGTATTATTCCATTAAACTTTCATTTCAGGTATTATTTATACATACATACATGCAGTTCTGAGCTTTAATAACTTCAGAAGTATGAAATTCAGAAATATGAAGGCTACAGATGTTAAAAATGAATATCGCTGGAAAGTTTCATTTAAATTTCCTTTGCCTTTGTTAGTCTTATCAACTTTGAATAATCAATTTTTATTTTAATCTTTATCCTCAGTTCATTGAAGATGACAAACAGTATCTGATAGAAAATTAAAACTAGAATTTTGTTATTCAAAATTCATAAAATAAATTTAAATGATCCAAAACAAATTTTTTTTTTGTACCAGGGATTGAACCTAGGGGCATTTAACCACTGAACCATATCTCCAGCCCCTTTTTACATTTTATTTAGAGACAGGGCCTCACTGAGTTGCTGAGGTTGGCCTGAAACTCCTGTTCCTCCTGCCTCAGTCTCCTACTGGGATTACAGCACCATGATGTGGCTGATCAAAAAAAAAATTGGGGGGGGGGGGGGGGGGGGCGGGGAACCAGGAATTGAACTCAAGGGCACTCAACCACTGAGCCACATCCCCAGCCCTATTTTATTTAGAGACAGGGTCTCACTGAGTTGCTTAGGGCCTTTTTTTTTTTTTTTTTGCTAAGGCTGGCTTTGAACTTGTGATCCTCCTGCCTCAGCCTCCTGAACCACTTGAATTACAGGGTGTGCCACCATACCTGACTATAAAAATCTAAATTTTATCAGAACTTATGCACACAAATACAGACCATACATGATGCCATTTGAATGGAGAGAAATATAGCAAATGTTAAGGTAAAATATTAAATCATAACTGGGGGTTGCAGATATAACTCAGTTTGGTGGGGTGTCACCCCACCAGGCTGATCAAATTTTTGAATGACTTTTTTTTGTTGTTACTTTGTATAATTTATACTCCTGATGTTATTAAGGTATAAAACTGCCCTAAGAGTTTTTGGGTTACCTGCCACACATATATGAGGTCTTGTAAAGCTTCTTCCTTTCCGGTCATAGAAGTTTGAAAGCCCACGTTGGGCAAGGGCTCCACAAATGACCTCCATCCCTAGCCCTGGCCTCCTATTTCCACCTACACTCTGGCCTCATCACTGCCTGCCTTGTGTCAGAGGCATCTCTTCTCCCTCCTGGGACCTGAAAGGCCTTGTTGTTTCCACCTTTTTATCACTGGCAAAGCCTAGCATTCCTTTGATATGGAGTAGGTGTTCCATAAACTCTTATTAAATGAAATGAAGCCAGAGAGGTTAAACATTAAGCACTGGCTACACTAAATGATGTTTTGAACGCACTTGCCACAGGTATTTTCATTATGTGATATTCTGCTGTTAGACCCCCCTTAGCTTGCTGTCTTGATTAGTTGTCTGAGTTCAGTGCCCTCATCTTACTGGTGAGGCTATCTTGGTTAGTGACTTCACTTGGTTAGGTGACACCCCATCACTCACAAGCCCAGAACCCTGCTGCTCTGCTAGCTAACTCTCACCTCCCCCTTGGAGGTCATGTGGGTTCCAGGCTCTAGCAGAACTTCCCTTTCCACTCCCAGACCCCCTGTGTGGCATTTGCCCTCCTCCAGCTCCCACCCAGGGATTCAAATACTTTAAATATGCAGAAACTGAGAAGTCCCAGGCAAAGTCTCTGTTTTGTGAAAGCCAGGGTCAGCCACTCAGAACACACCCTTGCTGGCCAGGTGGCCTTTTTTGTAACAAAGTTTCTTCCTGTTTATTGAATGAGCTGTTCACCTCCGGGAGACGTGGCAGCCAAGAAGCAAGCTGATTCGTCATACCCAGGGGGATGTTTGCTCAAGTTAGTCAAACTACAGCCCAATTACAAGTCTCTTTGAAAAGTAAGGACTGCTATCACTCTCACTGAGGGCACAGGTGTCTGAAGCTGGACATCATGTTAGGGAGGGGACAGGTCAACTTCAAGCTCCTGGTGGAGAAAGGGACTACGAGGCTGTTTGGCCAGATGTTGGTTGCCTATTCTTCCTGGCTAACACTTTCTCCCCATCAAGCCCAGCTCTTGTTTCCTGTCCCCAGTACCATGCTATGAACAGAGGGGTAAATTATCTCTTCCAAAGCTCTCCTCCCACCTCTGACCCTTTTGACCACAGAATACTGGGAGTTTCCCCCATAATTACACCTTTAAGACACTTTTGACTTTTCCTCAAGACCAAAGCTGCAGTACTTATTTGTCCCCAAGAAATGTGCTGAAAGTTATTCCTGTACCAGTCTATTAACATTTCCCCCCAGTATATCTAGGTTCATTCTATATTTACATTCAATATGAAGCTGAAGTTATCCAAACATAGATTTTCAACTGAAAAACCCAACCCAACTTTGCCTCACACTGTATACCCAGATCAGTGCTTGGCATATAGTAGGTGCTCACTAAATCTTTGTTGACTTATTCTGAGCAAAAGTCACTGAAAATCAAATTGACAGGGAGACAAAGAGGAAGTTCAACAGCTTATAGGGTTTTCCCTGGAGGATCTCCAGGCCCTGCCAGGTGGGGAAGAGGTGTGTCCTGGACCCCTAGGAATCCAGGGATGAAAGATGGTCCCAGGCAGGGTATAAGTGGGCTTCTCTACTGGCCTAGGAATTCTGGTGACAAGCAGTGTGGACTTGAAGGAAGACAAAGAAAAAAGAAATTTTAATTCAGTTTAACCATCTGTTGGTTTCAGGGGATTGGGAGACAGGGCAAGATCAAAATAGAGGAAAAAAGGGTGTTCCTGAAGACTGGGACCAATCTCTAGATTGGAGAGGGTGAAACTGAGGTTTTTCCTTCTCACTCCCACAGCCTGCTCTAGGTTGTGGAATTTCTACCCAGGGAGACTGGATACTCTATCTGCCACATTTTGAACTCAGGATCTGGGCCCTGTCCCTTAAGGAGCCAGCCTTCCCAGTTTCCCACGGTGGCCAGTCACATCAAAATCCTCAAAACAGGGCTTGGGATGTGGCTCAAGTGGTATAGTGTGTTCTCCTGGCATGCATGAGGCACTGGGTTCGATCCTCAGCACCACATAAAAATAAAATAAAGATATTGGGTCCACATAAAACTGAAAAATATATTTTAAAAAATCCTCGAAACAACCCCAACTAATTAATTAAATACTATAGAGTATTTAATCCCTTCTCCATGGTGGGTTCACCCCAGGCTTACTCCCAGGTCCTGTTGATTCATTCCCTAACTCCAGGATCCACCCCTTCCTCTCTACTCTCAAAATCAGCAAATCAGCATCTGAAAGGGTACCCTTACAGCCCAGCATCTGGATAATCAGCAGAGCTGCCAGCCAGGCTCCTTTGCCTCAGGCCTGTCTCCCCCTTTTACAATCAGAACAGCCGTGTTCATGTTCCTTTGGTTCTACTTGATTGTGGCGGAAACGCAGCCTGGGCAGTGTGCTTCCTGTTTGCACACATTCTCAAACTTGACCAGATGCTTGGCACTGGCTGGCTCTCCCTCCTCAAATCCTTGCTCCTATCTCCCTGGTAAGCAGGCCATGCTTCTGTTCAAATTCTTACTCCTAAGTCCCCTCTTGCAAAAGAAGCCTTCTTAGACAAAGGTGTGTCTATATGCCCCCAGGATCTAGGTGTGTTTATTTGCTTCTAAGTTTCTCACTGGCTTTCCCCATGTAGGAATTCCTCCTAGATTTCATGGAGGCAAACCTACAGCCCTAGACACCTACATATTATTTCCCTTCTCCCTGATCCTTATATCCTGGTCCCCAAACTTCTATTTCCTGACTCATCCATATGGCCTTCAGTGCCTGCAGCATTCTTCTGCCCTGAGGTATGTGGTTAGGCCATTTCCTAGGACCCAGAGTAGGCTGGACAGGGTTCAGGAGAATAATCTGACCCTTTAGGGCTCTCAGGTACCATAAAAGAGTCTTCTAACATTCCTTTTTTTCTCCCTGGACTGAACCCATTCTTGTTCATCACACAAGCCTTTTATATAGCACAATTACAGCATTGAGCTTGACACAGAGACAGGCACTGCCCTACACTTGACCTCTTGCTTATTCAAATCCTCACTCTCAGACCCATCAAATGAGAATGGTCATTTTGGGCTTTCCCAAAGAGGGACAGGGGCTAAAGATCCAAGTTCACCCAGGCTCTGACATAGCCACTCAAGAGTCCCTCCAGCATGTACACACCCCTATGGTCCTTAGTTTCACTTCCAGGGCTAGAAATATCAGAATATATCTGTAGGAGTCATAAGATATTTAGGGAAATACTATTTTTTTAAGACAGGGTCTCACTTTGTTGCCAAACTATAAACTAGCCTCAAACTCCTGGGTTCATGTGATCCTCCTGTTTCAGTCTCCCAAGTAGCTGGGACTACAGGTACACATCACTGTATTCTATCAAATCAAGTTATAGTTATCTTCTCCATTTTACACAGAATAAAAGTGAAACACAGGAACATTAACTAACCAAGGTCACACTGCTAGGAAGTAGCTGTGCTGAATTTGCACTCAGGCTCATCTCTCTTCAGAGCCTTCTGCCTTACCCATGGCACTATATTGTCTTGCATTTGGCTGGTGCTTGGAGATTTGCCAAAAAGCACTTTCATATATACCTTCTCATTTGCTCCCCACCCAGGGAGTGTTTACGTGATTTGGACAATGTTATACAGCTAAATTAGTGACAGACTTGAGTCAGCAGCCTTCCACCTTCATTATACCCACTGTCTCCCTGCATGAGAAGCCCTTGGCCCTAGAATGAGCTGACCCTCTTAGTCCTGACTTCAGTTCTAGGCAATGGCTACACAGACTGCAATGATCATATCTCTTTGCCAGGTCTCTCCAGTTGAACTTGGCTAAGATGTTTCCAATCTCAGAGGGCACCTGATAAACATCAGGGCCTCCCCTTTACAGGCCTGAGCTCTTCCATGATGTGGCGGATAGGAGTTAGTTGTTCTGCCAACCATGGGTGGTGATTATTTAGCAGCCCAGTATCTCCCATGGTATGGTGAGTTCCAGATTTCCATCTTCCCTTGCACTCAGCCCTGATACTCCTGAGAGCAGGGTTTTTTTTTTTCCTGTTACCTTTGGATTCTTAAAATGCATGGTACTCGGGGCTGGAATTGAGGCTCAGCGATAGAGCGCTCGCCTAGCACGGGCGGGACCCGGGTTCCATCCCCAGCACCACATAAAAATAAAGGCATTGTGTTGTGTTCATCTACACCTAAAAAAATAAATATAAAAAAATGCATGATACTGGAGCTGGGAAATGCCTGCAATGATCCTGGCCATTGTTGGATAATTAGAACAAAAGCATATTTCAAAACCCTGGCCTTGCCTTGCTCTAGTAATCACATGAATTTGTCTGTGTCATCCTTCCCAACCTTTCTCTGATGAGTAGGGAAACAGCTCACCCATTGGAGAGGAGAAGTAGGCCTACACAGTGCACACACATCCCTGGTAAAATAAGCATAAGTCCTGGAGGCTTTTTGGTGTGTCCTGAGTTATTAACCTCACCCAGTGTCTGTAAACTGTGTTTGTGGGCCTGGGGTGATCTGAGAGCACAGTGTTAAGACCCTCCTTGGGACCTCTTGGTTAATAGAGGATGTCTGTTTGAAGCTTTGTTGGCAAAGTGATCACTGCCAGTGCCCACACAGGTAGGACAGTCCTGTCCTACTCTCTGCAGAGCTCTGGGTCTGGGATGCCTGGCCCCTGGGGCAATACAAGCTGTTCCTCCTTTCTGTCAGCGTGAGGCTTGGAACAAGTGACGAGAAATCAGGAAGTTGATGACAGCCACAGTCATGCACAACCATCAGGTCCCCTCCCACACAATACCACACAAATCCCTCCCTACTCCCGAAAGACCCAAGCATTTAGGGGAGGTCAACCAAGTAGGGCTGTAAGGGACTCCCACCAGCAAGCTTTTTGCTTGCTTGTCCCTTCTGCTCAAGTGTGATCGGGCCGCGCTGGCAGGAGGAAACCTTCCTGATAGATTTTCTGTACTGGAGCACATAAGTCCTGGGTGGTCCAATCTGGGGAGACACACGCAGAAGGAATACCAAGGAGGGGCATGATATGAGGGGGAAAGGGTGTAGAGCCCCTGAGGGAGGACTATGGCTGGTACTCCTCCCACACCCCAAGTTCCAGAAGACGGTCTGGGCACCCCATTCACCCCTCAGCTCTTTGGTGGAGGAAGTACCACGGATGGAGGAACTACCCGCCACCCGCAACCGCCAAGAGCGCAGGCAGGAGGGACCAGTTTGGCCCTGCCCCTCATTTTACAGTGTGTGGGGTGTTGAAGAGGGACAGAGTCTGACGGACCCGGTGGTGGGAGCGAGGGCTTGGCAGAAGCGAGCCCGACTGGTGAGAAGTCCCGGGGAGCCGGTAAACTCTGGGTTCGGAGGCCGGGGACAGGGTCGCGGGTTCCTCTGCTGCTTACCTGTCGCGCCGAGGCAGAGCAGCCGCCGGGCCGCCGCGCCGCTCCAGGGTTTCCCGACGGGGCGGCCGGAGGGCGGGGCCGGGGCGTTCCTCCTCCGCGGCCCCGGCCCCGCCCCGCCCTCCCGGGCCAGGTGCAGCCCGCCACGCACCGCGCGGGGAGCGGCTCGCGGTCCGGTGGAGCGGCTCCCCGCCTTTTCCAGATCTCAGCCCACCCCGGGTGCTGTTTCCGCCGCCAGACTCTCAGCTCCAAAACAGATCGGAAGGTCCTAGACACCCCAAGGGCCACAGTCATTAGCAGAGCCGTTGGCGGCGCGTGCGGAGAGTCGCGGCGCGCCTGGAGACATCTGCTGGTTGACAGCGCGGCTGGAGGGTTCAGAGCCCCGAGGCTTGGCGCCAGAGTGAAAAAACGCGGCCTAGCAGGGAGGAGCCCCGAGGCTGTGTCATAGGCTTTGTCCCTTCATTTGCCGCAAGAGTTGGTATTAACTGTGTGCCCTGAGTGGTGCCAGGTCTCAGGTTAAACCAGCCTCAGAAGATACCTACTTATTGTCCGGACTGTACAGGGAGGTGGCTGATCACACAGCTAGTATTTTCTCTAAGTGTGGTCCCTTGACCCGCAGCATCAGCACCTCCAGGAAACTTTTTAGAAATGTAGATTCTAGCCGGAGGCGATGTCGCACGCCTATAATCCTAGCGGGGCTTGAGAGGCTGACGCAGGAGTCCTGATCGCAAGTTCAAAGCCAGCCTCAGCAAAAGCGGGACGCTAAGCAACTCAATGAGACCCTGTCTCTAAATAAAATACAAAATAGGGCTGGGGAGGTGGCTCAGTGGTCGAGTGCCCCTGCGTTCAATCTCTGGTACTCCCCCCCCCCAAAAAAAAATGTAGATTCTAGTGTCCTGCCGCAGAAGACCTAAATCTGAAACTCAGGATGAGACCCAGCGACTTGTATTTTTAAAGTCCTCCAGTTGATTGCGATTCACATTCAACTTTAAGAACTCTTGAACAATAGTGTCAGGGGTGGAATTAGAATCCAAGTAACTCAGACTGGAGGTATAGTTTAGTGGTGATAGTGCATGAATGAGAACTTGGGTTTGATTTCTGGCTACACACACACACACACACACACACACACACGTAAATTCAATTCCTAAACCTATGTTCTGAATCATCCCACCAGGACTACGGGTCTGTTCATGGATGCTCTACAGTTCTAAGATTCTTTTTTTTTTAAATTAAATTTTATTGATTTTAATTTGTTTTATATGACAGCAGAATGCACTTCACTTCACATTACATATATGCAGCACAATTTTTCATATTTCTGTGATGTAATATTTTAGGGTCCTTAGTAAGAGAGAGTAGCATGGATGACTCCAAATAGCTGATAATTTGAAAACTTTGTATGGTAGAAACTTGGACTGCTAATCCAAGTTTTTTTTTTTTTAATATTTTATTAGGTATCAATGCACCTTTATTTATTTGTTTATATGCGGTGCTAAGAATCAAACCCAGTGCCTCACATATGTGAGGCAAGCACTCTACCACTGAGCCACAACCTCAGCCCCTCCAAGTTTTGTTTTTTAATGAATTGGTATTTCCAAGTCCCCAAGACCTGGGAGCAGGGTGCATCTAGCAAGAAGTCAGTTCTAAAAGGAACTTGGAAGGGCTGGGGAAGCCACTTGGTGAAGGAAAGTAATCTTGTTTTCTGATCTAATGATAGAGTTGAGCTATTCAGTAGGCCAAAGACATTCCATGACCTCGCCTGGAGAGAAGGACAGCAGAGCTGGGGTTAAGAAGAGCTTGCCCAGCTACACTAGATCAGAGGGATGTTGAAGGATGACATTCCCACAGTTCTAGAGAGGGAGGAGGTGTCACTCACTATTGGCATGGTCACCCATCTTCCCTAACTCTAAGCAGTGAGGAAACAGTTCTCTCTCCCACCACTCCCTTCCTTTCACACTCTATCTAGGAGGGGATTAATCTTCTAAAGAGATATTTCCCACAGAGCTTCTTTGATCATTCCTTTTAGCTCCTTTCAGACCCTCAGGGCTCATTCTAACTCTGTTCCAGGTGCCACCATTCCCACCCCACCACCCAGGAGTGGTGGTAGTGGTAGAGGGATTTACTGGGGATTTAACCCAAAGATGCTTTGCGCTGAGCTTCATTTCCCAGCTCTTTATTTATTTTTTAATTTTGAGACAGAATTCACTAAGTTGCAAAGGGTCTTGTTAAGTTGCTGAGGCTGGCCTCAAACTTGAAATCCTCCTGCCTCAACCTTTCAAGTTTGTGGTGGCAGCTGCCACATTCTTGTCACTTGCCTTATTCGACTACTGTCTTTCTTAGGATAAGGATGTTTTCTGTTGAAGGTTATGAAATGTTGCCCCTCATTTTTGTCTTCTTGGCAGCCAAATGCTCCCTGTATAGGTATGACCTATTGTCTTTGTTCCATTCTTCTCATTCTGTTCTGTGACCCTCAGGAATTGTGTGATCCTAAATCAGGACCCAACCTGACCTAAGGTAAGTAATCTCAGTTCTTTCCTAGGGTAGGTTCATGACCACTGACTCCAGGCTGGAGCTTGTGAGAGATTCTGCCTAGCTTGCCAAGAAGCAGCATCAGTCTCGGTGTGTATTTCACATTCTAGAAGCAAATTACTCATTCCATCTTACTTCAGCTGACTCTGATTTTAAATGTGACTTTGAGTCCTCAGAATGATTAGCTGCCTAATTTGGAGGCCTATGCAGTAGGCCCACCCATAATGTGTCATGCACGGAGCTGCTCTCTCTTAGCAGGAAGGACAGTCCTGGCTTTCTCCTCTCTGCTCCAAGAAGGTCTGGGGATGAGTCACCTCAGAATGGTGACTGCTACCTTAACCTCCACTGGTGACAGGCCCCTTAATACATATATTTAAATGATATTTTTGTGGTACTTAAATTTAACTCAGGAGTGTTCTACCACTGACCTACATCCCCAGCTCTATTTATCTATCTATATCTATATCTATATCTATTTTTTTAAATCTCACTAAACTGCCAAGGCTGGCCTTGAACTTGTTGTCTTCCTGCCTCAGTCTCCTGGTGGTACCTGGGATTGCAGGCATGTATCACCACGCCCAGTTAAAAAGGTTTTCTTTAAATGACAAAGTTTTATACGCATGTGGTTAAAAAGAAAAAAAAAAAAAAACTCAGGCACTACGAAAACGTTTAGAATGAAAGCTACATCTCCTACCTTCCTGGACCTGCAGTCCTTCTCTCCAGAAATCATCCACACATGTTCTGCTTCCACAAGACATGACTGGATTCCCCTAGCTGCAAGAAACCTAAAATGACCCCTTCTCAGGAAGTACTAGGAATTTCATTTTTTCCCTTACAATCTTATTTTTACTTCTGGGCCATTTTAGATTCAGGTTTTGGGTAATCTGAATTTCACTTTTCACATCAGTGTGCTTTCAGGGGGTTTCCCCACCACGGGGCAGGAAACAGATCTGTTGAAACCAGCAAGAGGAGGGCAGCTTTGTAAGGCTGGTGATGTCAGCTCTGTCCCTTATCAGCTGTCTTCTTTCTACCTTCAGTCCCTGGTGAGGAAACACCCATCTCTGGGTGGGGCGGAAGGAACAGAGACCTGCCCTGGGGGGAGAGGTGCTGGCCCCACCTACCTGGGAGAGTTTGCAGAAGATGCCACAGAACTTGCCAAGGAGGTCTGGAAGAGCCCAGCTGGCCCTCCTGCCACCACTACCCCTCACCTCACCCCTGGGGGCGGGGCCTGCAGTAGGAATCCAGCAAGTCCCTTTAACCTTCTTGCAGCTTAGTTTCTTACCTGTAAAATGGGGTTAATGACGCCTAGGGTTGTTGGGAAGCTCAAGTGAGACAACTGATATGAAAGTGTGATGATTCTTCTGAATTCTTTTACCTCTTTTCTTCTGATATTCACACTTCCTCCTTCTCATCTCATTCCTGGGCTCAGAAGAGAAATAGTCAAGCAAGAGATGTTTTAGGAATCAGGCAGAGCTCTTCCAAATTTTGCCATCATCACTCATGCATTATAGTTCACTCACCTCTGTACTTCAATTTTCTCATTTGTAAAAGAGCATATTATTTTTATTACTCAGCTCTTAGGTAAGTGTTTAGCCCCAAACCTGGTAGACAATAAGCACCCACTAAGGGTCAGAATGTTAGCCATTATCATTAGCTGTTTTCCTTCTTTTATTTTTTTCCTTCAACTAAATGCTGTCTAAGTCAGCCACATGCTAGCTTCTGTGTTAGGTCTAAGATCAGGCAGAGATACAAGGATACAGAAGTGTCCTCTATCTTTCTATGTCTTCTCTCTCTCTCTCTCTCTCTCTCTCTGGACCCCCATGGTCAATCAGGTGTCACTGATACATGTAAAATGGGTTATGGTAGGGTAGGGCCAGGACTTGAGTGAGTCAAATGAGACATTTGCCTTGGGTGAAAAATTAAAAGGGACACCAAAATATTCAGTAATCGAGATAAATAAGATTTTAATGCAATATTTTAAAAACATCAAAATTAATGCAAAAAATCTATGATGAAAAAAAAGATTTAAAAAATCTAAGAAATTGTGGGTGGGGTGCAGTTATGGCTCACTGGTAGAGGTCTTACCTAGCGCGCGTGCGCGCGCACACACACACACACACACACACACACAGTGGGCTGAGTGTTATGCTCGAATTCGGGACCCCCAAAAGACCACCAGAGACCAAGATCGATGTAAACAGCAAAGAGGTGTTTATTGCGAGCTAGCTCGGTCCTCCGCGCGCACACACAGCAACTGGTGACGCTGAGAGGCCCTGAGCCCAGGGTTTGCAGCAGTTTTATACATTCTTTGGAGAAGGCAGGGACCCCCACATACATCATAGCATCTCTTAGCAAATCATCACACACCGCGGGAAAATCAAATAACAACTCTAAAACATGATTAGCACATTCACTGGCGGGAACAAGTTGGGTAAGGGTGATTGGTCAGTACAAAAGGGGTATTCATTTGAACTGATTGGTTTAAGCCAAGAGGGGTGTTCATGCTGAATTACATGGTTTCCCAACACG